AACAAATGGTATATACATATACATATATAGATCTAAATGGTTTAGAAATTAATTTAAAAACTTTTTATTTTATTTAATACGTATTCTATTGTAGGTCTTTCTTCTATTTGATGTGACCAACATTTTTTAAATAACCGGGTATACTCTATCTCTTCGCAGAATTTTATTTTCGGTCGTAGTTCAAATTTAACAACCTACAAAAAAAATAGTTTGACTATATTTAAAATAAGTTTAAGGCTAACCAAATAGATGAGAAAAAGGGTATTTTAACAATTTGGGTAGACAGGAATAATTATTTAGGGGATGTAGTAATGATTAGAAAATCAGGTTTCGCGTACGCAATCTATCTTCACCGCACCCCCTTCCCTTTAACCACAACTACTTATCATCACCATTATAAAATTGAAAACTGGACCGAACAGTATCCAGTCTAGGTTTCCCTCTGTTTTTCTTAACTCTTGTGATATGATAAATTATTTGACTTTACAAAATGTTAGTCTATGTCTCAATTGACTGGTCAATTTTGTTTAAGTTTTTTTTGTCTAATTAGAAACAGAAAGCAGGCAAAGCTTATAGTAGTCACCTTATAGATTAAAACTTCGGGACATGTTATACCCTTATAAGGAAAATCTTTTTCCTGTAATTGCCATAATACAATTCCAAGTGAATAAATATCGCTCCTGGGGGATGGATCCTTACCTAAATATATTTCTGGCGCAGTATAGGCAGGGGTTCCCTAAAATAATATTTATATCCAATTTAATGATGATAAATGGGCAAAATCGATTTTAATCAATAAGAAATTGAAACGAAAGTTTATTTAATAATTTCTAGTTATATTTTCAAAAAGATGAAAAAGTAATTCTAACTGGAACTTACATGAAAACAGAAATGTTCTAATTTTTCTCCAATGATAATGGAATTTCCAAAGTCACATATCTTGCAAACATCGTTGAAGCAAACTAATATGTTTTTCGGTTTTAAATCTAAATGAAGAGTTTTATGCTGATGACAGTACTTTAGACCGTTGCATATATCAGTTGCATACATTTTTACTTTTGAAAATGTTAACGAATTGGGTCCGTTTAATAAAACAGAGTGTAAAGACTTCGAATTTGCCAAGTATTCCATTACTACAATTCCGTAATTTTTATCAAACTTAATAATTACGTCTAATGTTTTTACTATATTTTCGTGATCTAAATTTAATGCATTTTGGTCTCTGTTTGTGAAATATTTTTTATTATATTCATCCCTTACTTTTATTACTTTTACTGCCACATCTAAACCTGAAAAGTAAGATAAAATTAATCGGAAGTTGATTTCGACGGAAATAAGCAGATTTATCAAAATTGCTATTTTGAACTGTATTAGTACAATTTAATGTGTAGATGATGATAGTTTTAAAAAGGTTTTAAGAACATGCATCCCGTTATATTACATTCTTGTTTAATATTTTCTCTTTTAATAAACACTACTGAAAATAGAGTAATTCAAATAAAAATGGACAGTAGGTATCTGTGTTTTCTAAGGATCAATGTTTTGACTAAATAATGCTTGATATTATGTAATAAGTTTTTAGAACTGTCGGAAAGATAAATGCACCTAAAATACCTAAAAATAATCTGAAAATTTTCAACTGCAACCTGTTTTATAATTTCGATCTTCTTTTGTGACGAGCTGTAGCGCTATTTGAATTAAATAACTTACAGTTTGTCACGAAAGCTAACTCGCAATGACTACTTTTATTATTTCCTAAATTATGTAATTGTACCTTTGTAATTTCCACGTACTACGTTGCCAAATGAACCGCAGCCTAGTATTTTTAAATTATTTCTTCCTTCAAGACCACAGTGTTGTATTTTTGTTTTTTCCGGGGTATTAAGAAATAACTTTTTTTCGTTATATTTTGAAAGGTTCAGGGATTGTGTGGAAACAGTTTCGGGGACTTGGAGATGTTGAGCAACTTGCGTGGAATGTTTATTTCTGGAAAAAATTATAATTTTTTAAATAAGAAGTTACTTATAATATAATTTTTTTGGTGAAGTTTTCGATTCGATATTGTCGTATATTTGTATTCTGTGCACAACATCCTGGAGAAAGAGCGCTTTGCTTCACAGCTAGTGATTGGCAACGTTAAAAAAATCTTTAAGATGGCATACAAATTTGTAAAAGAAACGACAAGTTACTTTTCATAAATTAGCGTAAAAGTTTCATTGAAAGAGGTTTAAGACTTTGGTTAGACTGTTTTAAGCAAGAGTTTAAATGAATGCACTCATTCACTATGTGTTCGTCTACGTCATTTGGATAGGTAATAATTAGAGATGTGCAAAATGGTTTTTTAAAAGTATTTAAATACGAAATGCAAATACTTTTTTGATTTGTTATTTCAAATCTAAAATACAAAATAGATTTCCCTTTCGTAGTGGTGTTTGCACTATATCACCAGCTACGAAGATTCAGTATGATTCATATTTTTTTGTTTAAAGTGATTATGATATAGTTTTTCTATCTTTATGTTATAGTTTCTTCAGTTTAGCAACAAATAATTCTTCTATATCCTTCCGTATTTACCTTTGTTACCGTTTTAATTGGAAAAAAGTCACTGATGTCAAAATAGTTTGCTTAGCGTGAAAGATCAGAGCCAAAATAGGGTTGCAAATAATTTTATTGATGTAAAATCACCATCAATAATTTTATATCAAAATATTTACAACCCCATTTTGTTTCTGATCTTTTACACATTGTAATAAGAGAAACAAATGGAATCAATAGTTTCTTTAGTTTTGAGTTCATCTGATAAGTGATGTTTTCGAATCGTTTCCTAAGAATTTTGAATTATATTCATTTATTAGCACACCACAACATTTTGTAGTTTTCAGTTTTACGTATATCAATTCGATATTGTTTTGAGGGCTGTTTTCTCGTAATTCATAGAATTTCGTAGTTCCTTCCTGATTTGGCAGTTGGTGATATCAATTTGGAACTTCAAAAATCCATGGACTATGATACTGAACTCGGAAAACAATACTGATCCAATATTTTAGATTATCTATTTCCAAGGTGTTTAGAATGTTTTGGGCTCTCTTCAGTTAAAGAAATAGAAGGCATTCATGGAATGTCTTTTTGTTTCCTTTTTAATCTTCTAATACCTTCAATGACCAATGTGAGCAACTTTCATTCATCATTATCTATAATGTTTGATTGGTGATACCAGCAAAAGTTTTAACGGCAAAAATGTATTTTGCATTTTACAAATGGAAAATACATTTATGCTTTTCTGAAAAAAGTATTTAAATGCAAAATAAAAATAAGTATTTTTTATTTTGTATTTGNCGGAAGTTGATTAACTTCCTGTTTCGACGGAAATAAGCAGATTTATCAAAATTGCTATTTTGAACTGTATTAGTACAATTTAATGTGTAGATGATGATAGTTTTAAAAAGGTTTTAAGAACATGCATCCCGTTATATTACATTCTTGTTTAATATTTTCTCTTTTAATAAACACTACTGAAAATAGAGTAATTCAAATAAAAATGGACAGTAGGTATCTGTGTTTTCTAAGGATCAATGTTTTGACTAAATAATGCTTGATATTATGTAATAAGTTTTCAGAACTGTCGGAAAGATAAATGCACCTAAAATACCTAAAAATAATCTGAAAATTTTCAACTGCAACCTGTTTTATAATTTCGATCTTCTTTTGTGACGAGCTGTAGCGCTATTTGAATTAAATAACTTACAGTTTGTCACGAAAGCTAACTCGCAATGACTACTTTTATTATTTCCTAAATTATGTAATTGTACCTTTGTAATTTCCACGTACTACGTTGCCAAATGAACCGCAGCCTAGTATTTTTAAATTATTTCTTCCTTCAAGACCACAGTGTTGTATTTTTGTTTTTTCCGGGGTATTAAGAAATAACTTTTTTTCGTTATATTTTGAAAGGTTCAGGGATTGTGTGGAAACAGTGAATTTGCGATTGGAAAACAATAAAATTCGAAACTTGAATTACGCGTTGTAATTGAACAATGAATTACAGAACACGAAAAAAGTGCTTTCTGACATGGTGACATAGTTTGCAGGATAAAACTTAATAAATCGTATTAAATATTTTTTTTTTTTTGAGCGTGTATAATTTTTTAAGTAATTGTATTTATTCACTGTAAAGTTTCTAAAACCGACCCTCAGGCGCTGGCGTCAACGTGCACATAGCGGATAGATCCCTGAAAATCGAATGATCTACTGCCTTGATATCATGCGCATTCGTTTTAGTTATTCGGGCTTAAAGAAGCTTTGGACTGAATTAAGCTGCTTCCTACCACCCTATAGATTGTTGCCCAATAGGTTGTTTAAAATTATTACCTGCGTCTTAAACATAGAAAATTAATTATAGTTATTGAAATAATAAATTTCATATTTTATGATGGATGCATTATTATATTGGTACTATTCAAACGTACCCCAATTTTGACCGTTTCTTTTAACTGCAAAACGTAGTCCCAAGTGCAATAACCGAACGATTTAATAATAATTTTAATCGATTATCCGAGGTCTATAGGCTCTAAAAAGTGAATTGTATTGTATCTGTTTACATATTTTTATTAAATGTCTGCCTCATTTTTAATTTTTAATAATTACTTAGTTAAGACAGATTTTTATCTTAACTGACAAAAATAAGTAGTGTTGCCCAAACGCAAGAACAAGACGAGACTTAGCCAGTCTTGGTCTTGGTCTTGCGCCAATACACCTGGTCTTGGTCTTGGTCTTGCGCTCCCAGTCTTGGTCTTGGTCTTGGTCTTGCAGCAAGAGTCTTGCAAGTCTTGCAATTACCTATTAGTCTATTACTATTTATTAAAGTTTACTTTAAATCCTAGAAAAACGTATTAGAATTGGAACATTGTGAGCTTGAATGAATATAGCCATAGTAAAGATCAAGCAGATTAATAAATAACTGAAGATTTGATAAGAAATTCGAAAAATCAACTGACCTATATGTCGTTTTCCATGGAAGTAACTGTTTCTTAATAAACATTTATGATCCTTGCTTTCTACCGCGCCGCCTCGCCACGTGCCGGCTCTATGATAAGGATGCCGCCGCAAATCAAACAATAATATAAAGCGTGTAAAAAAATTCGAAATTATTTTGCATGAGTATACCTACACCCTATGGCGGCAATCAAATAGTGTCAAATGTTATGATTTCGGCGTGGCGGCAACGATTGTTTTAGATTTCAAAAGAAGCCGCCGGCGCGTGTATCATAACCATGTACTTCCGAAAAGCGGCAAATTTCTTTGAGAAGTAAGTACAAAACCTTTGATGCCGCATTATCAAAGTGCCG